AATATAAAGTATTAATCATAATTAATGAACTCTATTTATATTTCATAAATATTCAAATCATAATAAATGAACTCCCATCATTTCTATAAATATCTCAATTAATTGGGTTGCAAGGGTTGTACAAATGCACAAGGTTGTAAAAGAAATATACCCTATATATATATATATATATACACATATATATATATATATAAACAAAGAAATGTGAAGAACACAGCTTGTGGGGTTGCAAAAACTAGAATAAATATATCGACTTAAACAAATCAAAAGCAAATTACAGAAAACAAATCAAAAGTTATTGGATTACTAGTTGTTCAACAAAGAAGATGAATGGTAGAACATGAATTACAAGTAGAATGAATCAAGAAACCGAAACCGAAACCGTTAGCAAGCGTAAAACTCCACGAGTTCATGTAAAGCGTCGGGTTGAGGATCTGCGTTTTCGATCATCCACAATAGATGTTCAAACAACACGACTTCACAGTCGATGGTGACGCTGGAATCCCCATCACCCGATCGTTCCAACACCTCTTGGAACAACGGGTGTTGGGCCACGTCCGAGCTTATAAGATAGCGACGCCGTGACTTTCCAACGTACACCGCATGAGAATGGCTCAAGTTATGGTAGTCGTCTTCATCGGAAGTCAAGGTCGATGCACCGTTCTTGGCTAGACCGGCCGGCTTACCAAAYGAATGCCACTTCTTTAACACAGACTTGATCTTTGTTAGCTTCCCTCCTTTGGCCATCAGTTTTCTGCGTGGAGATAATGAGAGAAACAGATAGATGGAAGTTGGTTTCTTATATACACAGCCTGTGGCTATGGGCTTTATATATATATATATATATATATATATATATATATATATATATATTATATGTATATTATATGTATATATTATTAATTGTATCTTGGTGTTGTTGGGACAAACAGGAGGCTTTTAGGCCCATTCTTCATTGTCTCAAAATATTCTTGTGATTTCTTGGTGATTGAGACCTTCCAAGAACATGAGATTATAATAATCCATACAAATTATCAATCACCGATTTCGATATTTTGAGAAAAAAGGGTTTGATGATGTTTGGGATCGCTWATGAAARCTGYTTATTGACTTATTCTGTTGTGATACTTGTAATAAGTTGTTTTAAATGTTTGGACGGGGAAGAAAAAAGGGTTGTTTATACCCGTTGCCAAACTGATATAATAAGCAGTTTTTTATAAGTCAGTCATCTCTAACTTATCAAATTCAACTTATTAACAATTTACGTTTTGAACCCTTTTTAGTTTTTGATATGAACCAGAGAAATTGAATCCTACGCCTCTCATTCCTCAAGCGACCGACAATCGAACTTGTGAAATCAGAGAAATCGAACCAKAAATCAAAATAGATTATCGACCTTCTTMTTCCTCACGTATTTCTGTGATTTTTTCTCATATTCAATCGATCAATCTTGCTGTGATTGTTAACATAAATCGATTTTTGTGATTTYTGTTTCTGTAATTTCTCTTTAGAATCGATCGACATTTGTTGTATTAATGTTATTGATATTTTTGTCAAAGATATTATTATAAATAATGAAAAATAAATTTTTAACATGTTAAAAAATCAAATAAGTTAATAAGCAATCTCACACACTTCCTATAAGGCAATAGTAAGGAAGAATGTTCTTTTTTGTTATTTTACATGTATAAGCAAAATTTGTCAAACACTAAAAAATAACTTATCAATTTATTGCGTTTTGGTACCACCATAAGCTAATCCAACACTTTTTATATAATTCCGGTTTGACACTATATATATAAGTTAATAAACACTTTTACAAAAAAAGTACACGTTGTTTTAAATAAGCAATCCCAAACACCCCCTCTGACTTTGATTCGACGGTTAACGCTAGTGGAGCGTTTAAGAGTTTGTTTGGTTAGTCGTGATAAAGTTGTATGTGTGGGTTAATTTGTTTGTATAAATTAGGAAGGTTCTTTTCAAAGATGGAATGAGCGTGTTTTTTTAGTTATGACCAAATACTTGGTTTTCTACATAAACCTCTCCCTAGAAACTTACTGAATAAGTCATCTTTTATAGCATTAAGCCACTACCAAACAGTCATGTATAACTAACTGAATAAGCTGTAAGCTCCATTAAGCTCATTAAGCTGCTAAAAAGCAATCTCTAAGCAAAGTTACTCCGCTGTAGAACTACAGGCGTCACCGATTCGGATATTATGAAATGAACCAACTTCAAACATGCATAATTTTTAGAGCAGCAAGAGTTACAAGACCCACAAATCGTTTTATTATCGCTATCACTATATCCTAAACCATGACTCCTTTCGCYAACATCGGCTTAACGAGATTCGGGACCGAGCACGATCAGGTATCGACCGCCAATGGAACAGATTCGGCCTGAAAAATGACACAAACCCATGTCGATTTCTTGCTAACAACRACAAATGGACAGACAGATGGATGGTTTATAAGAAATTTTACCAGTTTTCGATACTTGAGAGCTAAGAACATTTCAAGATAGCGACGGATCTCAAGGCGATCGAGCTTCGAAACGTGCTTCCAGAATCCGTATACGCCAGCAAGTGTCAACAATCTGTCCGAATATATTTGCCATGTGTATCTGCAGTTTTAACATACTCAATGAACTAGTTTCGATTTTGTGCCAAAATGGTCCAAGTCTAGCCGATACGAGACTCTAAAACAACAGTTGTTTTTGGTTTGAGAAGCTTACTTCTCCTGAATCCGCTGCAAGCCACCTTTCGAGATAGTCTCCCAGTGAGCGGGATCTTTCTTGCACTTGTCGAAGAATTCGACAAGCAGCTCGGACACCTGATCACCATGATAAGGATCGATATGGAAACCAGATTTTCCATGAACGATGATCTCAGCCGGGCCGCCATGGAGGGTTGCGAACGTTGGCAACCCACAGGTCATGGCCTCCACGACCGTCAATCCAAACGCCTCATAAAACGCAGGCTGAATGAAAGCTCCTTTGGTGTCTGCGATCACGCGATACAACTCACCATTCCTTACTCTATTCATCTGTGAAGAAATCCATCGGAATTGCCCGTTTAATTTGTACTCCTCGATAAGGGAATACATTTTCTTCATCTGGGCTTGTTCTTCAAGATCTTTCGATTCCTTCCTTCGGTCTCCGCCCACAACAACAAGATTCACCAATTCGCGAAGCCGCGAGTTCTTGGCATACCACTCGACTAGTCCGGTCAAGTTCTTGACGCTGTCCAGCCTCGCCATTGTGAATAGAATCGGTTTACTCTTGTCTTTCAAAACACATCTGCACCATTTATTCATATGTGAATATTTTATAATATAAGCCATCATTACAACAAAATCAGTGTTATATGTCTAAATTTCGTATCAACTTATTATAACACCTTTAATTTCTTCGTTCCCACATACTTAAAGTCCTATAAAACAGTTTATAACGACATTTAGCCATATTTAGTGCTTTATAAAGCCGGATTTTGTTGTAGTGCATATAGTAAAGACCGAGAGAGAAGGAATTAACGTTACAGGTGTTCCTTGTTCTCGACAGAACTAAAGAGAAGCTCCTCGATTTCAGGGTGGAGTGCAGTCAATCTTCTATCTTTCTCGGTTTGAGCATAGTAGATCCCCGTATCAGCACCGGGCGAAACGATGTTGAATTTTGGATCAAACACATCGATCCCATGAACGACTCTGTACAGTTCAGGCATCGTGAAAGCCGTATGGCTTTCGTACTGTCCCACCGTGTCCTTGCTAAGATTACGATCAAGTCCATTCGTTAAGGTCTCATAAAGATGTCGAGATGAATCCGATTCGCGAAAAGATCAGTAAAGATAACACAAGCATCGATACCTTCCGGCAATTTCTTGAAAAGTGCTTGTGATGATGAAATCGGTATGATTCATTGCAATAAGATCAGCGGTAAACTGAGAGGAGAAGTGATACTTCTCCTCAAACTTCTTCCAGTAGATGTCGGAATCGGGGTACTTGGTTTTCTCGAGTGCATGAGCAATGGTACACTGCGGGACACGGTCAATTCCTCTAGTTAGCTAATCGGAGAAATGCTTAATGATATAGAAAGTGGCTTATTCAGTAAGCATCTAGGAGGAACTTTATGCAAAAGGCCAAGTTTATTTGAAACACACACGCTCTTTCCATTACGGAAAAACTTTCCAAAACAAAAATTATAAACAGATTAATCCACATAGACAACTTTATCCATACTATCAACATATTTCATATCTATTAGCATAATTAGACATTTTTGGCGTTCTGTAAAACCAATTCGTTGTAATGGAATTCGTAACGACGTACCTGAGTGACGCCTAATTTGTGAGCGAGCAACGATGCAACGAGGTTTCCATCGCTGTAGTTACCAATGATCAAATCCGGCTTTGCTTGCAACTCTGCAGTAACTTCTTTTGCAACATCCTAATAGAATTCGAGGATTATAACAGCTGAAGTATGCATACATTTACAGAAAAATGGTTTCTAAACAACAAAGCTCGAGATTACCTCGGTGAAAGTCTCGAGATACGGCCAAACCTCAAAACGGGAGATCCATTTACGTAGGATACCCTTCTCGGTTCTAAAGGGTACCCGAAGAATATGAGAATGTTCCGCCCCGAAAACTTTCTCAAGACGTTGCCCGCAGGTGGTTCCTTTTGCATCAGGAAGGAGCCTTGTCACCTGGACACGGCAAACCATCAACAGACTGACCCAATAGCGTTCAGATCAACTTTTTTAAAACTACGATGGAATTGGTGGTGGCCCACCACTTAATTTGAGTTTATAAAAGAATTCTCTATCCATGCGGGATGGATTGTTACAGCAAGCGCGAAAATCCAGGACTTACGATTAGAATTTGGGGAACGATATCGAGTCCTTGTTCCTTGATCCTTTTAAGCATCTCACGCTCCAAAGCCGGAACTTGATCCAAGATGTAAACAATCTGGCCACCGGTATCAGGATATCCCAATACGTTCTCTTGAGCGAAATAGCCATGAGGAGATAGAATCACGACGTTGAAAACCATTGGAATTCTTCCAAGAAATCTCTCGAGAGTGCACGCATCAGGACCCTCGAGAAGGTCGAGCAGCATATGCATCATCTCCATCACTCGCTCCACGGTATCGCCCCAACCTCTCTCCAAACCGATCTCTTGAAATCGATGTTCAAACTCCGAAAATGGGGTGTCTGCAGAGAGTGTGGTTAGATACTCTACTGCTTTCCTCAACACAGATTGGAGACCATTCAGATTTTGGATCCTGTTATTCAGCATCATTGTCTGCATAGCATATGAACAACAAAACATTCAAATTCAAAACTTTCATACACAAAATATGTACTAATAACACTGTTTTATAAAACTTAAATTTATAGGACCAAATAATTATTTGTCCTATGTAAAAGTGTTACAATAAGCTCTGTTAAAACGGTTTTTGGGCATCCTAACAGGTTTTTTGGAAACCCTTTTGAAATAAAGTGTCCAATTAACTTTTTATATGAACAGCCTTTTCAAATGATATGTCATATAAAAAGACTCATGGGACGTTTTATTTCAACATTGTCTTGCATTAGGACGTTTAGTAGCGTTCTATCAACTTATTATAACACATTTACATAGGACGTGCAATTGTTTGATCGTATAGATCAGTTTATTAGGATATTTAGACATATTTGACATCCTATAAAGCCGATTTTACTGTAGTTGCTTGTGAGAAAATCATACCTTGCCCTTGTAATGGTGGGTTCGGAGGAAACCGAGGAGCGGACTCATGCTATCTTTGTCATGAAACATTTTAGCAGAGAGGTGTCTGTTAAGGAACTCGACCCCATTTCCAATATATTTGGTGAGGGTCGGGCGGGGGAAGGACGAAGTGAAAGGTTTGAAGTCCAGCTCAAGCACAAAGTTGTCATTTGAGCTGCAACCGATCAAATTGGTAAAAACATAAGTAACAACGAACTCGTTTTTTCATTCTGTAGTTCTGAATGGATTAAGCAGTCTGAATGACAGAAATGATAACGAAGGTTACCTTCCATTGATGAGTTCTTCTTTGAAGCGAAGATACTCGGCAACAGTTAATTCCTCAACGACAAGGACATTCACGTTGATTCTTACATATTCCCACACACCAGGTCTCAGACGAACAGCGAGCGCAACCCATGGAGGCAGCACGATCGCTTCCTACGATCATATTCATACGATATCAAGATTCAGCTTAAAGCAACAAGCTCGCCCAATAACTTCTAGTTCAACTTAAAACCATGGGTTGAAAGTGATACAGTAACAAAAAGTAGCTTTTTAAGAGAACCTCCGTTGGAAATGATCTAAAAACCTGACGAATCTACTTTTCTATCGGAGTCGTTACAGAAAAGAGAAAAAGGGGAAAAACACCTGGGTGTTTCTAAAGATTTCATCAAAGACACCATCATGGAGTCTGTTCTTGCCATCCTTGAAGAAGATAGCTTCAGACTCAGTTAGAAGCTGGTGAGGCTTCAAGATTCCTTTTCCATGGCTTTCAATCCTGCAAATTTGTTTCAAAAACCAAGAAAATCAAATTAGCACATGCCCAGATCACAAAAAGTGTTGGAATTACTACAACTTTAAATGGGTAGTACCTTGAAAGAAGCGCGAGGATTTCCGTTCCACGAGTGGCGAGAACAGCATCGACGCGATCACGAAGACCGAGAACTCGATCGGCCATTAACGGGTTGATCGATCGAAGAACAATAATGGTGGAGGAGGTAGAAAGGAAAGGAAAGCAAAGCAAGTGAATATGAGAAATGGGTTAATGGAGGATGGATGGAGGTGAATGAGGCAACCATATAAATAACCAAGTAAAATCTGATGTCCCAAAATTCATCGTATAAAAATATGTCAGATATTTTATTTAAGAAAGTTCAGTTATAAACATGTTTTTTTTACTGTACTCTAAGAGACAATGAGAGCACGGCCTTTTGTTCTCACTGATCATTAATAAGAACGTGATATGATGAATGATACATTATTCATGATGAATAACACATTATTCATGATGAATAACACTTAAGTTTACAACCGAAACTCGAACATTGGTTGGGGGTTAGGCAAAGGAAAACCCATTCACTTTTATAAGTTTGTCTTCTACCTCTAAAATTACCCACTGCCAAATGCCAAACCCCCCTGGGTGGGTCCCACCTTCACCATCCAAATTATCAAACCGTAGAAGATTTAAACTCTATTATGAGCAACGGTCCAAGAATATTTCTCAAAAGAATCAAAGAAATATGTAACGTTAATGGCATGTGATTGTAAAATTAAATATAATGGGGTAAAATGTATCAAATAGCAATTTATTTTTATAAAAAAAAATTATAATGATATTTTATATTTAGTTTTTTTTATTACAATAATGTACTTACAAAATATTCTTCATTAGAACATCATACTGTTAAAATTTTAACCATTATAGTGTTCAGTAACCTTTTAGATTAAATTTACTCATAATATCAGGTTTATTTGTTATATCATTGTTCACGTAAGCTGTCCACATATAAGATAGTGCTGACATAACATTTCTTATTATAGCATTGTACTTTTGAAATTATTTTATTATAACATGAACAATTTCTATTATAGGATTGTACGTTTAATTTTAATTTTTTTTTCATTTAAATATTGTAAGTTTATTAAAAATTATAATATTAGAAATTAACATGTTTATAAAAGATCACTATTTCACGAATAAAAATATTCATAAAAAATCATTCGTTCATCACATAATATATCGCCACTTATCGTACTGCCTCGACATGTTAGTTTGAACTGAAATGCATCACATAATTTCATGTATCAAAATAAATCACGTGTGACGTAATAACATGTATTTTACTAAAGCTTTGTAAACACGCACCTCGTCCGATAAAGTCAAAGGTGCATGGAGGTCTCATGTTCGAATCCAACGAGGAATAAAAATCCTCTTGTTGCCATAGAGGTTCAAATGTGGTGACAGGCTACCAGCAAAGCAGATGGTCGTCTTGAAATTAGTCGACTGACATAACTGGTTGGATATCAAGGTTAATAAAAAAATGAGATAAGAGCCACTTTAACCAAAAAAAGCAACTTTTAAATACCATAATCGAATATAGTCACAAATAATAAATCATACGTAATGAAAAATATACTTTTACATCCTTAAAGAAACAAGAGCTGATCCAAATTCATGACTTAAATCCTACTTGCTACTCTCCTTAGATGGTATTCCAAACTCAAAACTATCTAAAACATAATTTATGGCTAAACGCTTACTTATCGGGCAATTTTTCTCACTGGACGAACATGGCAATTGGCAAGACCCAAGAATCTTACCTGGTAAGAGCGATTATAAGGATAGAGAGTCTTACCCGGTAAGTGAGGATGACGACTCTTATCCGGATAAACGCTCATCATATATATTGTTGCGCACAATACCGTTTTGATATACTACAATCTTACCTATCAAATAAATTATAGTGTTGACTCCTAACCGTAAGCACTTATTGGTAAGCATTTAGGTAAACAACCCTTAAAATAGGTGAATAAGATCCTTATGGTTTTCTTAATGTAAAGTTAGATTTATAACAAAATGATATATGTGCATTGAGGATGGTTTTAACATTACCCACAGTAATCTTTATTTTGTTATTAATTTTTTTATTAATATTTAAAAATTCCAAATTTATAATAATTTATTATAATTTCATTCAAATAATTTCCGTACACCAATTTTCCCACTCGGACCTCGGTTGTTACATCTTAAAAGCCCGACAAGATTCGGTTTCTTGTCAAACAAAAAAATGATGACACGTCATGTGCTTGGTCCAAAATCATTATTCACTCCCATCGTTAAAAATTTATCAAATAAAAAATATTTATCAAACAATTTATTTTAATGATTAAAAACGTTACTTAATAAGATAAGTGATAGTGAACCAATCTTACTCTTTAATCTTTGTGATCTATGGATAAAATTCATCATGACATTTTTGTAACAAATTAAAAAATGAAGCTTAGGGACTGTTTGGCGGTTGCTGAATGATTTGGTGCAGAATGATTAAGTGATCAGAATGGTTAAGAGGGCCAGAATGGTTAAGTGCTGAATGAAATAATGTTGTTTGGTAACTGTTCTCTGAATGACAGTAAATTACCATTTTAACCCTTCTCAAAACTTACGATAGATAAATCAAAAGTGCCTAAATCAAAAGTGATAGATCTCAAAACCTACGATAGATAGATAAATCTAGCATTCGATCTTGAAAGGTGAGCAAAACCTCAAAATCAAAAGGCAAATCAACGGAGATAATCAAAAACCACAGAATTCTAGAGAGATGTATAACCTTTGGAGGCTTCGAAGTTGAAGGCACATAATCATTAGGGTTTATATCTGAATCACCAGAGCTTTGACTGATGACCTGGACACTGTTTGGCATCGATGACCTGAGTGTCGCCGTCAGAGAAGCAGAGGCGGGCCTAGTTGCCGATGCCATTGTCGAAGAGAGGGAATGAAAAAGGAGGCAGGTCTGTGAGATGGAGAGATTGGCGAGATCGTTTGGGAGGAAGAACGATGCGTGGGAGGAGGAGGGGGAACGATGAAGCTGGAAGGAGAGGAGATGTGGGGAAGGGTAATCCTGGAAAAATAAGTCTCTGAACCATTAGGCAACCCATTAGACACAAAATCGTTTGTCACCATTAAGAGGTTCCATTTTTTTTGCCAAACAGCCCCTGCCTCTTACCGATTAAGAGGCTCCCTCTTAATGTCACCATTAAGAGGCAAACAAATAGCCCCTTAATAAACATAGGTGAACAATCAAGAACAAAAAATAATTTCGGAAAAAAGTAGGAAGATTTCTTTTAGCATTAATTACTTTTCCAGTAATTACTCCATCGTTTTGAAACCGACATCAAGCTTTAATTATTCCTTGACTGTAACTTATGAATGGTGTGAAATGAACAATTGTTATATATAAATATCTTATGAACATTGCTTACCAATAAAAATATAGCATATATGAAATTGTTCATTAATGAACACATACCTGAATGTATACGTATGTGTGACGGGTGAATAGCGTTCACCAATGAACAAGTTGTCAATATAAACAGTGTTCATTATTAAACATTGAGTGCACACTCATTCATGTTGACTGCTACTATGTTTATATTGATCATCAACTAACCTAACATAACATATGCATCAAGATTCCAATAAATTGGATCAAATGGGGAATCCTCTTTATCCAACTTTTGTTGAATACTGTGTTCTTAACCAAATATTTGAGATCAAGGATTAAAAGCAAACCCATTTGGCTCAAATTGTTATGTGTTCACCAAAACCCAACCAAATTTGAAACAGAAAAAAAAGGTATTCAGTCCTTGACATCATTTACACCTTCTGCAGAAATCTGGAACCTGGCTTCAGCTTCGGCTAAACATGGCGAACTAATCACCTTACAAATCCGTTCTTCTCCCCTTCCCTTCCTCAAAGCTAGCCTTGTTGTCGAAGCATGAGCCATGATGTTACCACCAATTGGTTTGACTTGAGGCCCCGCAAACATAGCAGAACCATCCACTTGGGCCACAACTTGATTCGTGATCACCACCGCTACACCAAACTAATATAAAAAAACGTAATCATAAACCAAACCAAGTATATTTCACTTGGAGTACGGGTATGATGTTTTTTAAATCCATGACCTTCTGACAGGTTTCTAAGCATTCTTGTTTATGAAAGTCACATTTTAGTCAATGGCGTCCTTAAACTTGTCAAAGGACCCCAATGTACGCAGACCCTTTCTCTACCCAAGGGGTAGAGAGACTATTTCTGTAGTTAGTAGCGGTATAATTCCTAAACAAAGGTTTAGCATCCAAACAAAATTAAGACCTTCAACATGAGATGAATTGGACGGAGTATTACCTCGTCTGCTAACTTCTGAAGGCTCCTCAAAAACTTTGCAAGATGCATTTGGCGGGCAGATAGCTCCCCTCTACCAGAGAAATCAGTTCTATAGAGAGCAGTTGCACTGTCCACTATCATAAGTGCAAACCTGCAAACCATAAGTACATTTACTGTGTGTCATTCTTAGTCTTTCCAACTTTTACCGTATATCAGTCTCAGTCTTTTCCTGCTTTAACTGTGTCAGTCTTAGGGTCCGTTTGGTTTGCAGGATTGTTTTTGAGGGATTTGAATTGGAATGGATTTAAAATCATTGGTGCGTTTGGTTTGTAGAAGTTGGAATGGAATCGGATTCCATTATTTATAAATAATTATAAATTATTTATATAAATAATTAATTTTTATTTTTATTAACCGATTAATACAAAACAAATGTTTTTAACGTTTTTTAGAACCTTATTCCATACAATCCTACAAAATCCCGTAAATCCCAAGCATCTCCTAAGGATTTCAAAAATCCTAAGATTTCAAATCCGGACAATCTAACAAACCAAACATGGGATTAGAATGGATTCAAAATCCAAATCCCACAATTTCATTCCATTCTTACAAACCAAACGGGACCTTAGTCTTTCCTGCTTATACTGTGTGTCAGTCTTRGTCTTTCCTGCTTTTACTGTGTGTCAGTCTTGGTCTTTCTTGCTTTTTTACTGTGTGTCATTCTTACTCTTTCCTGCTTTAACTGTGTGTTTGTCTCTACCTGTTGGGGTAGAGGCAAGGTATACCGTGTACATACATCCTCCCCCCCCCCCCCCC